AGGAATGCACGAATCAGGATCAGCAGCAGATGAGCTAGCAGGGTTCTGCTCAGACTTCGGCCATTGCAGGATCAAGAGGGACGGAAGGGTCTAAGATGGAAGGGCTCCAAGATGGAAGAAGGGTCGAGACCCTCGTGATCCCTCCGCTTTATACCGAGTATGATGTATGTGGGATGGAATACCTAGTTGGTCGGTTTTGGGTCCGCTTCCCCTCCGTAGGCACAGACACGGCACCCACGGCGAGACACTTGCCCTTGAGCTTATCAGTTCACACTGTCTGGGAAAAACATGCTGCTAGTTTTCATCAAGTTCAGCCACTCAGAAGAGACTGAGCTGAAAAGTAAAATCACTAAATAGAAAATTAGATCTATTTAGCTCAAACCAGGACACCTCCGTTCCCAACCACCACACACTTCTTAAACTGGGAGTGGTGGTACGGCATATCCTGCAACATCACAGCAAGGAAAGAGTTATTTTCCTGAAACATGGAGGCAATGGGTATCTTTTTGTTCCTTTTTTTCTCTTTTCTTTTTTTGTGCAGCTGCACTAATCACAGTAAGTTGACACTGGTTCTGGCCTGCAATATTCCCATGGTGTACATAAATGGATGGGATTCTTTGCTGTGCAATTAGAGATGCTATGGACAACTAACTCAGAGAGAAAAAAGCAATAACCTGTTTTTGTCCAGGCTTAATAATGGAAGAAGTAATTTTAGAAACTTGCTTTCCTGACTGATTTCCACATGAGGGCACAAACCAAAAAATTAGCGTACCCCAGGCATTGCCTTCCGAGTTGCCAGCTAACAGCTCACTCTGCAGGCTCTGATGTACTGCACACATAGTTCTAGAGCAGCTAGTAAAGCCCAGAAAGTCTCTTTAAATCAGACAGCCCATTACAGCTATTTATCAGAACCTAGCCCAAATTTTAGTGCATGCTACCACTAATTGTACTAATAGCGTTAATTATTATTAATTAGCACTTGTACTACCAGCAGTGCCTAAAGCCTTTGGTCAGGCACTCTTTTTGGACTTTCTTTTTGGATCTTTCTGCACTCTTTGGGCAAAATTGTGTCTTCATACGCAGACATGCAGCTGCTGCCGAAGCCAGAGAGAGTGAGAATCACTTCTCTGAGAATAGAACTGGGCTGTTAGAGTGAGAGGGTTGTGACGCAGAACTGAGCCACGCTACACCTTATGAATATGTACAGATATGCTTATATAAGCATGAGAGCTCTCGTTTTGGTACATACATTTTATCAATAATTTCGGACCACACACTATGGAGAGATGCGATAGTGACATGACATGTTTAGGTGATTATTCCCAGGATCTTTCCGTAGCATTCATAAGCCATGAGGTAAAAGGGCATGCAATTACATCTACTTGAGAAAAGCAGCAGCTGCCTAACAGAGGCATTATAGAGTTGTTTGTGCTTTATCCAGTGATTTCTCAACACAAAATGCCTCGGCAGTACCTTTCAGGGAGATCAGAAGCAAGTCCTCCACACTCAGCACAAGGCTCTTGCCATTACATTCTTGCTCCTATGCTTTCCACCCTTTATCTCCTATGTTTTCTGCGCTGCTCCTAGGCAGAGGGTGGCTTTGGCCACATAGCTGCTGCTCAGTAAATCCCAAAAGGACTTTGGCATGGGATAGAGCTCGCAAAGTAGTCTCAAGGTATACCTGGATAAATACAACAGCAGCTATAGGACACCCTTAGCAAATGCATAGGCATCTTGTCTTGCATGCATTCATCCACGCAATCAGGCAGGGTTTTGAGAATTTTGCTCCTGGACTTAGATGTTCCCATTCTTTGCATATCTCCAGATGCCTAAGTGCTTTCCTGGATCTGAGCCCTTCCCCTGTTCAGCCCCAGTTCCCCATGAGCACATTTAGATAACAGCCCTAACCTATCTCTTAGTAGTGCTCAAAAGCAAACAGATTAAAAGTGGTTAGACCCTGAAGGACAACGTTAATGACACAAATCTAAGTACTTAAATATTTTTCTAATTTTCTGAAAGGGATAAATTTCAAAATGCCACAAAATGCATTTCTGTGCATCCGTCCAATGCCCCTCCAAATATCCCATTTTAAATTCATTAGGTTTGTGCCATGATAAATCAGTAGTCACATAAGCCCATTTCTGCACATCAGCCACTATGTGCAAGGTGTATTGCCCAGTGGTTATAAATTTGAATGACCCTTAGGTCAAGGATTATTTGCTGACAAGGTTTTGAATAAGCATCATGATGAATATATTTAAATATTGTGCAGCCTGTTCACAGATATGGTGCAAACAGAAAAAAGTATAAAAATAGTAATTGTGAATATGAATTACAAAATAATCATGTCCCTAAAAAAGACCTACCCAAATACTGAATTTATTGTATGAGATTCTTGTACTTTTTAAAAGTTCTGCCCCTTTTATTCAACTTTCTTAAATTCTTTTATTAGCCACTTTTCTGCTAGGTCAGTAATATTCTGCAGGAATATATATTGCATATTAGAGCAGATAACCACTATAAAATAGGATAATCAGCTAAAATATCATATAAAAAATAAACATATTCGAAGTATAAGCAAAGAAGTTTGTAGAAATGTCAAACAGCCAACTACTAAATGCTTGGCTATAGGATAGCACCTAATGCAGCAAGTAGAGTAAAGCTGATTCTGCGAATAGACAAAGTCATGAGGCACTTTTGGAAACATTTTGCAGAGTTCTTGGTTGATATGGAAGATTCCACTAGTATCCACTTCATATTTCAGTTTAGTTCCTAAGGGAGTATTTTTCTGGGTGGTGAGCAGAAAGCCAGGGGCATTGAAACACCTCAACAAAGTAGACCTGTAAAATTAAAAATATATAAATAAGTTCAAGGAACTGATAGCATGCTTCAGGATTTGCAATTAGTATCACTCCTAACAAGGCATTTTTCACCAAAAAGGAACATTTTAGCTGTAGGAGGAGTAAAATGGTCGTTTGCTGGATATTCCTTTAGAAAATTTCCAGTTCAGTGATATTTTCCTTGATTGAGGAACTTATGGTTTAAAACAAAAATAAAAGAAGAAGAAATTAGGTCCCTGTACCTGTTGCTTCAAGGCTGCAGGAAATACATGTGCAAATTCTGCCCAGACCACAAAACTTTGATTACCAAAAAACTTTTTATAGAATCATAGAATGGTTTAGATTGGAAGGGACCTTAAAGATCATCTAGTCCAACCCCCCCTGCCATGGGCAGGGACACCTCCCACTAGACCAGGTTGCCCAAAGCCTTGTCCAACCAGGCCCTGAACACTTCCAGGGAGGGGGCATCCACAGCTTCCTTGGGCAACCTGTGCCAGTGTCTCTCCACTGAGTTTTAGTCTTAGTTTTAGTTTTAGGTCTCAGTCTTAGGTCTTAGTTTTGCCTTTGACATTGCATATCTGCATCAGGAAGACAATGTGGCCCCGACAGATGAGTGCCAGGAAGACTGGCCATGGCTCAGACAAATGGCAAAAATTTTCTTTGTTGCTGGGACAAAATGGAAGGTATTGCAGTATAAACAAGCACTGTTTAAAATCTCAAAAATGGGATTCTTGGCATGAGAGAAAAACCAATTCAGCTCTCATATGAAATCTAAACAGGAAAAGCAGCTTTTCCTATTTACAGGTCCATTTCTTAACTCCCATCTTTCTCTGAATTTTTTTCTCCTTTTATTGGTGCAACTAAAAGTTCAGCTTACTCTTACTCCAGAGACAGTTTGTTTCTCAGTCAATGAATCTTATATCTTAATGAAAAAATACATGTTATGGCAACTGCACAAACATGAAGATAAAGCCAAATGGCTCTCAAATAACCTAGACTAAATACCTTCCCTCTGGGATATGTGGCCGTGTTATGAGTTGGAAGAATAAGCCAGTCTTCTTTATAGGCTTCATTATAAGAACCAGAAAGCAAATACAGAATTATGCAAATTTTAGTGATGTCCAATTACTGTTACATGCTTGTTACATACATCATAAAGAATTTCTTCCTAATATCTAGTCTAAATCTACCCTCTTCCAGTTCAAAACCATTCCCCCTCATTCTATTGCTACCTGCCCTTGTAGAAAGTTCCTCCCCAGCTTTCCTGCAAGACCTCTTCAGGAACTGGAAGGCTGCAATAAGGTCTCTCTGGAGCCTTCTCTTCTCCAGGCTGGACAGTCCCCCCTCTCTCAGCCGGTCCCTGTAGGGGAGGTGCTCCCACCCTCTGATCATCTTCGTGGCCCTCCTCTGGACCCGCTCCAACAGCTCCATGTCCTTCTTGTATTGGGGGCCCCAGAACTGGATGCAGTACTCCAGGTAGGGTCTCACGAGAGCAGAGTAGAGGGGCAGAATCACCTCCCTTGCCCTGCTGGTCACACTTCTTTTGATGCAGCCCAGGATACAGTTGTCCTTCTGGGCTGCAAGCACACTTTGCTGTCTCATGTTGAGTTTTTCATCGACCGGCACTCCCAGGTCCTTTTCCTCGGGTCTGCTCTCAAGCCATTCTCCACCCTGCCTGTATTTGTGCTTGGGATTGCCCCTACCCAGGTGCAGGACCTTGCACTTGGCCTTGTTGAACTTCATCAGGTTGGCATGGGCCCACGTCTCCAGCCTGTCCAGGCCCCTCTGGATGGCATCCCTTCCTTCCAGTGTGTCACTCATTAGTTTTGTGATGTACTTATAGGACCACAAAAGACAAAATACAAATATTTTATTGATCCTCAGAATCACATTTTCCTACTTTTTACTGTGTTATTAACTTGTGAAACTCACTGCTAATTGAGGAGTTCAAAAGTAAAAATGAGCTCAGAAAAAACCTAAACAAATTTTTCAAATGGAACTCAGATCAAATTCAAATGTCACTACTTGCACATATAAGAGGACCTCAGGAATCCCTGATGAGACCCCTACTGATGAGATATCTTGAGCTTTGCATCTTTTGACAATGTAATTGTACGTTATAATTTTCATTCTGCCTAAAAGTAACCTTTTTTAGCAAGTATTCATTCATACTTACATAGACAAAACCTTCACCTCAATGATGTCCTGCCATAATTCCAGGCATTTGGTAGAGTTGTATTCCAAAGGCCCTTCATAAAACTCAAAATACCTGAAGAAGAACAAGAAAAAAAGATTACAGAATTAGAATAGAATATTTGTCTTACATACCAACAAAAAATTTGCTTAAAATTGTCATTTATGATTTCTGCCTAATTTGAGACTACATTGTCTGGTCCATAGGCAGGTTATTACTTCACAGGGAAACATCGATGTCATTGTTTATTGTAGAACAGCTACCCATGTCCAGTTTGTCCATCTCTACGAGTGTTCATCTACCTTATAGGCACCAACAAAGACCAGCTACCTTTTCCAGCAGTCAGCACATGGCAGCTGGCACTGAATATCAGGGGAAAAACACTGATCACTTCAGGAATGCGACTCCCATCCTCTGGATGTCTGAATATGCTGAGACTTTAAAAAGTAATTCCTTAAATTTTGCTCTTAGGTGGAAAGCAAAGTGCTGGAGGTTGTATCTTGTCTGTGGAGACTGTTGCATACCTCTATGCAATTGAGTTTTTTGTTGGGATTTACTCTTTTGCTAAATTCAGAGGGGAAAATTTTGCTCTTTTGCTAAATTCAGAGGGGAAAATTTTTTCTCCTCAAAAACTCTGAGATGGGTTTTGAGAACAAAAAGATTTGAATGCTCAGACACAGCACAAATGACAGTGCTATTCCTAATTAAAATATAGTAATAAATTTTTACTTTTTTGGTTAAATTCCTCCACCTCAGCCATCAGACTGGAGTGAAGGGGGAACAAACCACAATGGTAGCTACTCATGTTTAGGGACCAGAGAAAGCCCAGGCTGTCCAGTGAATTCAATGTCTGTATTGAAATGACAAAACAAAGATCTAGGGTTTAAACCAAGCTCTGTATCAGTATATGGATTTCAGTACATTGTACGTGCCTCAGGACAGATAAGAATGGCAAAAATCTAAATTGACACGTATTTTTTATATTCCATGTGCACTTCTGACTCTGCTGCAAAGTTGGAAAACTACAGTTCGGATGTCCAACAGCACGTGCTATCACGTGGGAACGCCACAGCAGGGGAAAGCTGGCTTCAGCCCTTGGCACTGGAGACAAAGATGTCATTTTATGAAAAAGAAATAACATTTCCTGAGTCCCAGAGATTACCTTTGATCACAAAAACATTGCCTGTTTACCCAATCCACAAACCAAAAATAGAAATGAAAAAGGATCTGTTTCCAAAGAGACAGAAGGGTAAGGAGGAAAGGATTAGGTGAAGAAATGCACGAGGCAGCATTGCATTTGTAGCAGAGTTATTCCATTAGCTACAGCTTCAAAAAGCACAGGACTGTCCTGTGAGTCACTCTCACAATAGCTCCAGCTTTTCCAGCACAGTCACTGGGAGAGTCATATTCACCATTTGTCACCTTGTGGAAGTGAAGAAGGAGGATCTGTGAAAAAACGCTGTGTGACACGCTGCTGATGAGACACCTACGTGCAAAAAAACAGGAGACACTGATGTCCATGCCACTTCTGCACTGAGTGGGGAGAAGATGCTACTGGCCATGGGGTGAGCACTCAGGTTGCAAGCATTAATGATGCTACAACAGCATTAAGGAATTTGTGAGACAGTACATACTGTCAATAGACAAAAAAAAAATAAATTACTCTCTCCCAGGACTGTTCATGCTATTTATTTGCTTCACAGCAATTCCCCTCTTGCTACAGACACCAAGGCAAATTAGCAGAGGCAGCTCCCTGGAGCACCAGCCAAGCTCTTCCCGCAGAAGTGTTTCATGCTGTATTTTCCCAGGATGACAGCTTTTGCACAAGGCCGGGCTCTAGCACAAGGAGCATTGGTTCCCTCAGCCCCCGCGGATGTCCTTTAAACACAGCTCCTCTGCTCAGCAGGGTCTAGTCCTGCCGGGAGTGTTTGGAGAGCAGCCCTGCCCCACATCTCCCAGAGGAAGCATCAGTCTCACCCACTCCCTGGGCTCCGAGCGCTCCTCCTGCCTATTAATTCCCACTCTATACTATGTAGTTCCTTGTGAATGAAGACACATTTGCCTGTCAGAAAGATTAATTGGCACAAATGGAAACTGTCCTCCCCATTGTCTTAAACAGTCTGATACCAGCTATGAAGCAAGGGTGTAGCACAGTTTATTTTGATTTATGCTCTTGATTAGTGACGACACACCTGACTACGCTACTCCTTTTGCTACAGGAAAGGGCCATGTTTCAGCTTTACAAGAATGACAGTCATGTTTTATATCCGTAAAACAGTTGATTTGTTACCCCCAGAATTTCCTCTCCCTGCATTGCCTTCGCTTACCCTGCTGAAATCTAAATAACTTTTATCCCTCAAAGATCATAAATCTATGGTAAAACCAACACAAAAATTTGTGTTTCTTTACAATAGGGAACACAACTACAACCAAATCAAAACAACCACATAGTTGCACACAGAATTGCTCTTTCCCAGGGTAGTGTGCACTACACACGACTCACGGCTCTATGTCCATTCAGGTCAAATGTGGCTTTCAAATCTACATTTTTCCAGGATCAAATCCTGTATCTGAACACCACACAAGCTGCAAGTGCTTGGAGTGGCCTCCTTTTTTTATGACTCTCAGTACTGAATGCCCAGAAATGAGATTCTATTCGCTCTCTAATTTTCCATTTTTGACTAACTGAGACTTTCCTCTACTTTTAACCTTCATGTTGCCCATTGCAACCTCATTTCCAGCTGAGAAGCTTATGGAGCTTGTTACTGAGAGACAAATTTGGTTTCCCAGTACACCAGCTAACTCTGAGGTCTTTCTTCATCTGCAGTTGGGCTGCTCCTGCTTTGATCAAAAGGAAGCTTTTCTTGATCATGCTCCATGACTTCAAAAGCCTGAGACGTCAATCCTGCCTTCAAGTGACACTTGGATCGAGGCACTGATTTTTCTGATCTATTGAACAAAGGTTTTAAAATATAATTGAGTGTAATTGTCAGGCATTTTTAAACAAGACCATTTTCTCCTGAAAAAAAATGCCTTCCCATTTTCTCATTCCTGCAGTGCCAGGGCTGCAGCACTTATGCTGCAAGAGAGCGGAGTATCGCAGGAAGGATTCCACCTACCCTGCAGGAAAAACAAAGATCTTTCAAAAAATATACATTATCCAGTGACTAAGAAATGAGAATAAATGAACCAAGCCCTACAGTACAAAGTACTGTACTGAGCTCCTGAGGTGGTCAGCTCATGGTCAACCTGCTGTCTACCAACACTCCAGGTCCTTTTCTGCCTGGCA